CGCGCGGTCGTCAGGCCCTTCTTCTGCATGCGTTCCCAGCGGGTCTGGCACTGGCGATACCTAAAGAGAGAGGTGAGTCGTTCTGTTGTCGACGGATGGAATAGCGTACGAGCGCGTCTCGACAATGGCGGCGACCGTGGTCCACTTAATCGCGAGGCGCATGGCGTGGCGAAGTTTCTCGTCTTCTTCGAGCGTCCATGGCCCCTTCTTGTTGGAGGTGAACTCGGAGTGCCACTTCTGTCGGCATTCTTCAGCGCTGTGGCGCGGAAATGCGAGCTGAGCCTGCTTCCACGTCGTGAGCTTGGGGTTCACGAGCTTGAGTTGCGCAATCTACGCAGCAGGGAGAAGGTGAGACGACTGGGCATGACGCAGTACAAGCACGAGCCTCATTCTTCTCCCACTTGATCTTGGGCTTGCTCATGGCGATCATTGTCGTAGTTGGCTTGAAATTGAAAAGTGAGGTGAACAATTCGATCAAATGAACGCCGGATATGAAGCGATATCCGGTGAATACACCCAATCCAGTCACAGATGGTGATTGGCAGGAGTCGGAAAAGCTTGAAGTGTCAAGTTCATCATTCAATGTGTCAACTGGATCGGATGTGGCATCGGCAAACGAAAGCAGATATACCTCGTACAAGCTAATCCTTTCGTGTCTAATGTTTATAGTTAATGTACAGAGCTAACATTTTGCTGCCACGGCTCCACAAAGCCTGCCAGGATAGGTCTACAGCACTACGCTGGGAGGTACGTGGTGAGACATCCATAAATATATTGATAATCTATCTAGGACTGTCTCACCACATGTCTAGGACACGACTAGATAGATTATCAATATATTTATGGATGTCTCACCACGTACCTCCCAGCGTAGTGCTGTAGACCTATCCTGGCAGGCTTTGTGGAGCCGTGGCAGCAAAATGTTAGCTCTGTACATTAACTATAAACATTAGACACGAAAGGATTAGCTTGTACGAGGTATATCTGCTTTCGTTTGCCGATGCCACATCCGATCCAGTTGACACATTGAATGATGAACTTGACACTTCAAGCTTTTCCGACTCCTGCCAATCACCATCTGTGACTGGATTGGGTGTATTCACCGGATATCGCTTCATATCCGGCGTTCATTTGATCGAATTGTTCACCTCACTTTTCAATTTCAAGCCAACTACGACAATGATCGCCATGAGCAAGCCCAAGATCAAGTGGGAGAAGAATGAGGCTCGTGCTTGTACTGCGTCATGCCCAGTCGTCTCACCTTCTCCCTGCTGCGTAGATTGCGCAACTCAAGCTCGTGAACCCCAAGCTCACGACGTGGAAGCAGGCTCAGCTCGCATTTCCGCGCCACAGCGCTGAAGAATGCCGACAGAAGTGGCACTCCGAGTTCACCTCCAACAAGAAGGGGCCATGGACGCTCGAAGAAGACGAGAAACTTCGCCACGCCATGCGCCTCGCGATTAAGTGGACCACGGTCGCCGCCATTGTCGAGACGCGCTCGTACGCTATTCCATCCGTCGACAACAGAACGACTCACCTCTCTCTTTAGGTATCGCCAGTGCCAGACCCGCTGGGAACGCATGCAGAAGAAGGGCCTGACGACCGCGCG